GTAAACAATTATCAGTTTAAAGCTCCAACTTTTGAACAGTTTGGACAAAATACTTAAATTGTTAATTTAAAAAACCCAAAGAATATTTTGTGAATGTTAAAAGCGATAAATTGTAGTGCTAAATGCAAAAGCTAAATTGTAATATCAATTTAACTAAAATAATTTAAATATAACCTTACAGAATCAACTTAAATATAGATTTTAGTTCAACTTAAACAACCTAAAGAATATTTTGTAAATAGTTAAAAGTGATAAATTGTAGTGTCTTTCTAATAATGATTATAATTTGGTTAATAAGTTTAAATAAGTATCAAACCGAAAGTGTAATCATAAATTATAATGGAGGCATTTTTCCAATCACCTCATGCATTTGAAACCCCCACATGAATTTCCAAGCACCTCATGCATTTTAAACTCTCATACATTTTCACCTTCAAAGTAATTAATAACACATCACACATTTTATATAACTCAAGCTATTAATGGAACTATGGATGGTGAATTTAGAGCATGACATGAATGAACAATTGATTTTGCTCCTACGTACTTATAAATATGTTCCCAAATAAAAATGTGGCAAGAATGATGAAACAAAACCTGCTCCTGCATGGTAATTAAATCTTTTATGTCATTCATTTCATATCTTCCACTCCTTTAGTTTGCTCCTTTTGCATGGTAATTAAATCTTTTTATATCATTCATTTCATAACTTCCACTCCTTTACTTTGTACAATTTCAAATACTCTAAACGGATTATGAATATATGACAGGTGTTATAGGATAATATGGATTGGAGATGAATTAAAGCAGACACTATACCTTAGAAATGAATCCAAGTTGTCTGATCATCGATAGATGAAGGCAATATTTTTTACCGGAGTTAAAGTCTCAAGATAGAATATCAAAACATTTGCATTTCAGATAGGTTTCCAGAACTATATTTGCTATAATATTACTAAAGAATGAAAGAACATGAGGTCTACCCACAATTCTTGAAGAATCTGAAACTCCAAGAATGAGAGAAGATTTAAAACCTTTAAAATAAATGAGAAACTCGAGCATAGAGATTTAATGGCAGAAATTTAAGTTCTACAAAATCTATAACGAAAAAAAGTGAAATTAGGTGGAATTTGAATGAAACAGTCCAGTGACGTGCTTTGTTTGTTGGCTAAATCGCTTGAATTGACTTTTGTTAAAATTTAATTTAAATTTATGCTAAAATGTAGTTATTATTCTTAAAATATGACCAAAGAATCTAAATATTTGTATTATATTAAAGGGCTAATAAAATAATAATATGAAAATCAATATACTTTATCATTTTTTTCATTTTAGCCACTCATTTTAATTAATGTCAAAGAATATATATATATATATATATATATATATATATATATATATATATATATATATACTAGGTTAGAGACCCGTGTAAACCGCAGATTTATAAGATAGACAATGAAAGTAGATTGATAAAATAATAAAAAAAAATTATAAATTCAATATTAAACTATATTGAAATATGATTGCCAATGTAGGATGATACTATATTTTAATAAATGAGACTTTAAAAATATTGTAGTAAAATAATACAAATTAGAAGTATAGTGTTGAAAAAGTTTTTATTTTGTAAGCATAATGATGTATGGAATAAGAAATTTTTAATAATGCAAAACTAAAATATGATGAAACGTAACAACTCAAAAATCCAGATAAAAATTTTCATTTTTAAAATATGAATTACAGTTATAGTTTGTTTCTCAAAATCCATTACATCATATCATATCCAAAATATCAGAGTATCAATATCGATAAATGCAGAAAGTGTTGGGAGTGAATGTTGCGCCATCAAGTCAGGCCCTTACCCTTAGTACCGGAAGTACCTGAAAACACCAAAATAAATTGTAAGCCAAAGTTTAGTGAGTTCCCAAAATATAACATAACATACAACCACAGAACACATGCCACATACATAAGATTGCCATGGGCTACCCCCATGGTATGTACCTAGAATGTCATGGGCTACCCCCATGTTCTAACATCCAAGTGTCATGGGCTACCCCCATGGTCTGTACCTAGAATGTCATGGGCTACCCCCATGGTCTGACATCCAAGTGTCATGGGCTACCCCCATGGTCTTTACCTAGAATGACATGGGTTACCCCCATGGTATGATATCTAAGTGCCATGGGTTACCCCCATGGTCGTCACACAAGTGCCACGGGCTACCCCCGAGGTCTTCAGACAATTAATTACATAACAACTATCAATCCACATGTGAGATAATGGGCTGACATTTGTGCCTTCGACCCATTGATATTGTGAGAAGACTCACCTCAGACTGCAGATAAAAATATTGCTCGGCTACCGGTCCGGAAATATCACACTGAATATACACAAGTTAACCTAATTAGAATTTAGTTACAAACTCAAAGCATAGGCCAAAACCGTAAGTCCAAACTCCTCCAATAAGGCCGAATAGTCTTTCTCCTCTAATGGGCCTAACATCCAAGGTCCAAAACAATAATGGGCCACAAGGCCCAAAAAGGCCCAACCATGCCACCTATGGTCCAATAACAAGTTCAAAGGCCCAAATACTCTAATAGATCTAGGCCCAAGGCTAAGTAGGGCCCAAATGGCTCAAAAGCCCACCGAAAGCCCAAAACTCACTGGAAGTATACGCCCATCGTACATCATCAGTACGCTTAGCGTACTGGGTTCTTTGGGGGTTTTCCCAACGTACAAGCTGCTTTGCACAAAGAGCCATTAAGTGCTTAATTCATGTAGCCACTTCGTCCAAATCCAGATCTTGGCCATTTTAAAGGTCCTAGGGCATAAAGTTGGCAACTTTATGCCTTTGCATGCCATATGGGAACCCAACACCTCATTTTATCCATTAAGACTCCCTTTAAGACCTTAAACTCATGCATGGTACCAAAACAACCATCAAGCTAGCATTTTTATGCTTTTAACATGCCAAAGGAACTCAGATCTAACATTTCTAATCTCTAGAGTTGCTCAAACTCACAAGAGGGGATCCATGGACCAAAAATGGACTTATTACCAAACCCTAACTCAAACTAGCAAAAGGATAAACAAGGTCTGGACTTTTTACCTGCAAAAGTTCCCCAAGGTAAAGTAAATGCAGGATCTAGAAGCTCAACCACGTCAAAGACTTGATCACCACCTTCTCCTTATTACAAACACACTAAAATGTCCACCAAAATCACTTTTAAGCTCAATAATCATACTCTCTTGCAAACTAAGGTTTAGGGACGATAAGAGGCAATGGAGGTTGTTTAGGGTTAGGTCCAAATGACATAAGAGTGCTTAAATAGGGTACATGCCCTAAAATTAGGGTTTTTGTCTTAGGCCACGTACGCCCCGCATACGTGGTGCATGACCGCGTCCAAACCACTCTAGTACGCTAAGCGTACACATATGTACGCCCAACATACGTAGGGGCCTCCTTTGCAAATAAGTTTCATTCTAATGGTTAAAAGGGTAAATATATGCATTCCGAATGTTACATGAAATATTAAAAATATGAAAGATTGTGAAATTACAGTAGGGAATATGTATGAATATGACATTCAAAGTAGAATGATACTATAATGCAATAAACGAGACTTTAAAAATACTGTAATAAATAATACAAATTTGAGATTATATTATATTATAAAATAGAAGGATAATTGAAATTTTATTATATATTCCTTACAATCATGATATTTAATAAGTTAAATTTTATAAAATATTTAATAAAATAAATTAGTTACTAAAAGAAATTTAAAATTTAAATATAATTATGATCTATTATTTAAAAGAAAAAAATCACTTTTCTTTGTTCAAAGTTTAAAAAATCACTTTTTTTTGTTAAGATAACATTTTAATGTGACGATGATAAAAAATGTGAATTAAACTACGGGTTAATTTGTCTTTTATTCATTGGGGTCTCACCGTTTATGCAAATACAAAAATATTAATTGAACTAAAATCATGGTTAAAACCAAGGGATAACAATCTATTAAATTTAGTTTAAAATTTAAAAAATAGATTAATTGAGTTAAATAAAAACTTAATAATTAAAAGAAATTCTATTAGGATGCCATGTGTCACCTTATAAATAAAATTAAAAATTAAATATAAACTCTAAAAAAATGACATGTGGTACATAGACATTTTTTTAAGGTAATACACATATATATATATATATATATATATATATATATATATATATATATATATATAT